ACCCGGGACAGTGGATGTCACATGTATGCACAATCACTAATCTCTACACTGGCAACAGCTAACAATTTTTGAAAAAACTTTCTGGAGGGGGGAGGGACGGATGGCCACATCATTCTCCAATGGATGCAAGAAAAGCTCACTTACTACACAGCCCAAAAGTAAACATTTGAAAACGCCATCAACTGTTGGACATGAACTACCGTTTGATAGGTACATGTAGCTAACGACCTTTTTTTTTGTTAGTTTATGAGGGGTCTCAGTAACGTGCACAAAACACTAATAACACTTCAAAAGAATGGAAAGGCTTGAACAAAAAGTGAGACTTCAATTTAACGTTTGGCCTTGGCATGCCTGTCATGGCTGCATTTCTCCATGTTTAATACTGAACTTACTTGATGCTTTCTGTCATGTGTAGGCACGTTCAGGGCATTCAGTTCACGCTTTTCTGAAGAACAAGAATATTATCAGTGGGTCATTCTATACATCTGGGGTCCAAAAGTGTGGCATTTTGTGTCCCTGTTACAACTGAAATAAATAATTTGACATGGAAAGTTTTAAAATGACTTCAAACTATTTTTATCTGTTTAACAGGTAATTTTTGAATTAATCACTCTTGGAAGTTAAAGAATGTGTTAGAAACTTACAAATCGTATGTCAGATGTGACAGGGACACTAAAAAGTGGGACGTTACATTTGTAAATAACTATCGTTATTATTTTGCCTGATGACAAATTTCAATAGCATACAAGACTTGCTGACCATGTTGCTTCGTACAGAATGGAAACAGACCAGGTAACTATGATTTTGGATGATAAAAATTATTCCAAGATAAAATCTGGTCAAGATCTGAACTCTTAACTCTTCTTAAGTAGAAGCTTACCCCTAATGTTTTTCACACAATGCATTCTTAAAAGGGCCAGCAAGCAAACAGAATAAATAACCGCCTTCCAACAAAGCTTTGAACAGTTCTGGACAACCAAGTCCAATTCAGCCATGTCAATAATACACCGGGCAGGAACTTCGTTCTTGAAGGGGCAAGGGAATTCCTCATTTGCAAAGGGTACTAGAAAATCATCTTGTCTAAGGGGACATTTCAATGGGCATCAAAGCAAAGACCAGGGGCATCAAGGCAATTGCCTCCGATGCCTCCATGAAGTTCCTGCCCTGAATACAGCATGCCAGCACCCCACGAACCCTGCTATGCCCAAAGTCACTCTCAGGGCCAGTTAGTAACCAGCACACAAATGCAGTTTGGCCATATTATTAAGGGTCATGCATAGACCTTCATGACTGGGGACTAGTGTCAAATCTGCTGGTGTGGTATCCCCTGGACTTACCTGTGTCATTGAATGGTAATTTGGTCTGTATAATGTGCGTCATCCATGCTACCTTGCCACCCAGCTCCTCCTCTAGAACACCCAGCTTCTGAGTGGACTCTTCAGCCTTCTGTATGGACTCGCGTGCCTGAGTTTGAACCCAACAAATTCGTTTCAAACAGAGAGTTGGAAACAGAGTAAATGACAATGCTGCAGGCTCTGGTTTCATGGAGCTGTTTCACCGTCAGGACACAACAGGTCTTTGCCTTCGGGGCTTCAACAAGGCACCACTCTCGCCTTATTAGGGTTTCCCGATGCACTTTGCTATGGAGATGTAAATGGGCTTTAATGTTTTTGCCTAAAACTTCACACACTGGTACATAAGAAAATGTCACATAAAATTTTGGATAGTCTGAAATGAGGCTAACGTAAGAGTACGTACATTCCTCGCTCAAATAAAAAGAAATCCAACTTTGGATGTGACTTGGCAAAATTTTGTACATTTGGACTATGTATTTACATGTACACGTGTACTACATTTGCACTGCAGTTCAGAAACACAAGTCACCCTATTTCATGTTCAAAACACTTACAAGAGGCACCTTAAAGTTTTTACCATATCTCTGAAATTTTCCTTTATTTATTCTTCAGTCACTGGCACATATATGTGTCTGTGTATGTACATGTAGTTTGTCACATTTGATGTTTTAATACAAGCTGCCCAGCAACAGGTTTTGTTTGCTGGGTAATTCCAGAAATCACAGGTCCAAAAGTGTGACATTTTTGTGTCCCTGTTACATCTCGCCTTTTGTTATTTGACATGGTAATATCACCAGAATTGATTTCAAACAATAAATATTTGTTTGGCAGGTACATTGTAATTTTTATTGATTCATCATATGCCAGATGTGACAGGGACACCCAAAAGAAGGACCCCTAATTTCTGGAATTACCTTGATGCATCTTCTACATAGCCATAAACTGTCACCCAACATTTAAATGTTTAATCAGGGTGTGAAAGTTTTGTTAAACCTTCACAAAATCGAACACCACTTCCTATCCTTAAATCTAATGCATAGCCGTAATGAGAATGTCCCCTTCCCGGTGTCTGACCACCGTACCTCTTTTTCCTGGGCCTGCAGTTTGACCTCCAGCATGGCCTTCTCCTGCTGCAGCCGCTCCACTGTCTCTTGGTGCTTCTTGGCGCTGGATTCCAGCACGTTCTGGTGCTGGCTGGACAGGCTCTCCAGGGTGCTCAGCTTGTCCTGCAGCTGCATCATGGCCTGCTGGTGGCTCTGGGTGGTCTCGTAAACCTGCCACACATTAGCATAATGGTTTGGGGCTTGACTCTGTTACTCTCTGTTTATAAATGTAGCACCAACCCTCATTCACTGGGCATTCTTGATATTGATGGGAACCTTGATGTTATAGTCAGATTTATGAAGAATGGTGTAACTCTGCATCAAGTGTGAGCCACACACCACAAATTGTGGTTTAAAGTACGGCACTCACAGTCCATTTCATGAAAACTTAATATTGTGGCATAATTTGTTGCAGAAACTTAAGCAATAAAATGTGGCACAAGTGATGCAACACTGTTGTTTCATGAACTCAGACCCATCCAAACTCTTACACTATGCAAGAAACCAACGAAAGAGTCTCTATGTTTTCATTTCAGGCATGCAATATCGACTTTGACAAGAACAAGGAAATTCAAATCTTTACAAGACAGATGTACAGTGTCTTTCAGTTTTCAATGGCATGAGTGTGAAGTGAAAATTGAGGAAATCAGCTGATCCGAGGAAAAGTTGCACGCCTGCTTTAAAGGGGCTAGAAGTGCCGTGTGAAGTAAAAGTGGCTGGGCTCTGCCAACTTCAATCCTTCAAAATCTGGCTGTCAATACAAGCAATGACCTATGTCATGGGCTGCGTTAGCATGTATTACTCTCAATACTCAGTGAAGTAAGAAAATGTTGCATATGCATGGTTGTCATGACCTTCAGTTCATGTCATTTGAATGATCAACAGTTTATTTCTGCCATTGTGAAATAACCATGGGACGCCAGAGCATACATACATGTACACTCGTGGCATGATGGGAGAATGCTCTCTCTTGTCTGCGGGTCATACTCTCGCCGTTCATACACTCATGTTAACTCAAGTAATACACTCAAACTTTGACACAGAGATGAAAAATAACGGAGGTTTGACCAACATGGAAATCTGACCAACACGGCCGCCAATGTGCCAAGTGAACATGCATTCTCACCTGCTTGTGAAGCCGTTCGTTTTCCTTGATCTTGCTCTGCAGCTCTTCGTTCATCACTCCGGGCAATGCAGCTCTGTTGGACATGCCATGATCAGCCTCTCGACTCTGACGGAGATAATGCAAACACATATTCTTTGGTGGTTCACACTGGAAAAGAAAACTTTCACCACAGTAGCCTAGCAGCTTGCAAATCTAATTCAAGTTTTTCTGACTACATTCAAGAAAGTGTGAAGGCGTTGAACCATAATTTCCAAATTTCACTTATAAACAATCCAAAATTTCCACAGAGATAAAATGGGGTACTTAATATTTCACTGAGAACGTCTGTGGTCTCACCTGAGATTGTAAACAGACATGGTTTCAAGCATACTATGGAAAGAATCCAAATAGTAAATAATGCGCAAGACAAGACTCGCCCACATCTTGCTTTCTGAAAGATGTACACCAACCATTGTTGTTGAGAGGGCATTCAGTAATGGACTCTGTACATGTACATGACCAAGAGAGGTCAAGATTTTACCTTGTCCTTGTAACAAGTTCTCACCAGCTCACATACATGGGTCATTCCATTGGGTTGGGGAACAAAGCAACACCATAGAGAAACATACAAGATGCTGCATTTTCAGCAAGATAAAACCCCTTGGTATCCTAAGACATCATGTCATACATTTTGTATCGAAAATCGCTCAACACCATTATCTGTCGACTGATTATTAATGTATGTAGTTTTGTTCAGTTCAGTCAAGCTTGGTCTCGTTTTGAAGCTTACATATATCTCTTTCAGATACGCTACAGTTAATATGAGCAGATGCTCGCGAATGGTTTTTAAAGGCAGTTTCAAAAGCGATCTTGCCCAAAATACAAAGTGCTCCCCAACCGGATGGAATGACACACATGCACATATGGCACAAAGTGAATACAACTCATTTCCATGTTGGTACAGGTGTGTATGAGTACCTCCATGCAGTGTGAATGCTTGCAACGTGCCAATGCAACAGCATCTGAGGCCTGGCCCGGCCTTTCCTTCACTGATAAGGGAGACTGCTTGTGCAACAGAGCCAACAGAGGCTTCAAATCAAACATGTCTGTGAACGTACTCTGCTAATGCAATCTATGAACATGTACATGTCAGTCTGCTACATTATCTTTATGACAGGGTTCTGCGGCTATCAGTGTACAGTACTTCCAAGTTCCATTCTGTTTTTTTCAGACAAGCCTCCATTCCTCTCAATTTTCAAGTCCCCGGTTCTACTCCCCATGCTGTAATATCTTTTCCCCATGGTGTAGTCATTTTTAGCCGATCTCAGGTTCCTCTTCCTACCCTCACCTGATTTTCACGCCCCTCTGCCTTAGCTGGATAAACAGCCCAGTTTTTGCCAGACATCAAACTGCATGCTACTGACTCAAGTCTCAAAGTATTTTCGTTTAGGCATGTTGTAAGAACAGCACTACAGGCCTATCATAGATGAAACCTGAGACTAACATCTAGCCAAGATTTGTGACCCCCCCTCCCTCACCACCTTTTTACCTTGTTCTTTTTGCCCTTTCCCTCGGCAGCCTCCAGCTCATCCTGCAGGACGTTGACCCTTTTCGTCAGCTGTTGATTCCGGAAGGTCAGGCTGTCCAGCTCCTGTTCAAACTTGCGGATCTTCTGGTCTTTCTCCTTGAGATTGTCCTGCCGAGATGGGAGCGAGATACCAAAATTAGGCCAAGAAAAACTCTTGTGCCGAGAACGAAGCAAGCCTCGCAGTTTGGCCAAGGAGACGCACTGTACATGCCACATCACAGCGACAGCTTCTACAACTTGCCTGGGAACAGTTTGTCATTGGAGGATGAAATCAAGGCAAGCTCTGGTTTAAGAAATGACAATTCAAACTGTACATGTACATCAAACACATGGATCCTAAAAGAACTCTTGATGAGGACAATCCTTGGGAAACTTGGGAAGTCTTCTCCATTCACCGTAGTCAGCAATTGCTGGTAAAATTTCCACTTTGCAATTTGGCAAACAGTGCACGTATTTTCAAGCAAACTACATGAATATACATGTCACCAACCTTGAGTGAGTTCTGTTTCTCTTGCTCATCCACAACAGCCTTCTTCAGCACCTGATTTTGAGCTCGAAGCTGAAAGCAACAAAGATTCACACAACATTACTGACACGAATAAGGCTGGACAGCCTTAAAGCAAGATGTCTGAAATGTAAAACAACCTGCAAATGGAAGACTGATTCATCTCTTCAGCTCCGTCACAAATCAAGAAATCAAAATCCCCCACTTGTCGATTTCCGAGTTTTAGAACACACTCCATCTTCTGACTAGCACATGGCCAAAGTACATGTAACTAGGGCACTGGGTTTGCAGCCTCTGGTAAAAGTACACAGTCTTTTTCGGTAGATTTATACCCCTGGAGGATTGTTATTAAAGAGAAATTGGTCTGTGACCAAAGTCCGAGATCGACTGGACTGGATCCCATTCCCAATGGACCAGACTGGTACAACAAAAGTAGACAGCAGCCTGTTTAAAATCCTCAAAAAAACTATTGCCACTGCCATTAGAAATCACAGCAAACAATCCAAATGTTCGTTTCAAAGGCAAGAGTTCCATAAAAACTAACAACACCAAAGAGCATAGAAACCTTCCCAAAATTGAATTACACTGTACCATTCACATTAGACAGTTAACTTGAAGTCTAGCCAAGGAAAAGTGGGGTTGGGTGTCTGAAAAGTGACTTTTCAAGATGAAGGAATGAAGTGCCGTGAGAATATTTTCAGCCCTGAGGAAGAGAAAGTAAAATATTGAATTGATAACTGCTGCTTGTGTAATGCATTGAGCGAGCAGGCGTACCTGGCAGGAATTTACCAACAATGCTCTGTGCGTTGTCAGCTGTGACCCTCTGTGACGTACATGTACATGTATTTCCTTCACTAAAATCTGTGCAATCTTTTCGGGCACTGGGGCGACGAGCAAACATTTAGTTCTGCATTTTCCTACATGTACCTTAGCTCAGGGCATGCATGAATAAATGAGGGCGCTGTTCATTTTGGAACTACTGTTCTTAAATAGGAAACTGTGATTAATCATTAGGCCCAACGTGCATAACACTATAGTTTCCAGGTCCCTAGTTTCGTCACCTATTGTCAACTCTGATTGGATTTCACAGTAGCTGGTGAAATAAGGGACCTGGTGACCATACGGTCAAGCATGTTAGACCTAAAAATGTCTTTTTCCACCCGCTTTAGCTCCTCTAATTTCCAATTTCAAGATTTTTGAAATTTCAAGTGAAGCCAGCATTTAATTCAGAGGAATGAGGCACAAATATGAACGAATATTTTATAAACATACGAAATTTAAATTGCTTTCCAGTTGTGTTGCTAGGCCTACACAGCCATGTCATGACGTGTACAAAATGCATCAGGCCTAGGAATGTTGGTGTCATGTCGTCCACGGGTCAAGTTATCCCTGAGTCAAGTCGTCCCCAGGTCAAGTCGTCCCCTGTATAAATAATTAAATTATAATGTAAATTTTTTCTTTTTAAGTTTTTACTAGGGTAAATTTTTTTTGGGGGGGGATAATTTATTTAACTTCTTTTTTACTTTTCAAGTTTTTACTGGGAGAAAGGCTAGGCCTATCTTTTCTTTTTATTTTATTAGTTTTTTTTTTAAATCTATTTTATTTTAAACTAGCCTATTTATTTTTATTTCATTTAGCCTAATGATCATTTATTAATAATCAATAAATCAGACATGTTAGACATGACTGAATTATATATTTGAAAGTATGTTGGCTCTGAAAAGAGTGTTGGCTCTAAAAAGAAAAGAAAATTACACGCATAGGCCTACTAGATAACACTTGAAAGAACTAGTGGGGTAGGACTTGACTCGGGGATGACTTAACCCAAGGACAACTTGACCCATTTCCTAGGCCTAGTACGAGTACTATGCCTAGGCCTACTATGATAACGGGTCGTACTAATCAGCGTCAAAACACCGTCAGCACGCGTCAACACATTGATAGTAACGTCAACACACCATCAACACTTACAAAATGCATTGAAAACAGATGTATCGAACTGTAATGTATGCGCTTAGGAATAATTTCTATCTAATCAAGTTTATATTTTACTACACTTCAAGGGAGTTTTTTCACGTGAAAAAATTGTCTCTGAGCAGCCCTACCCTTCGCCGCCATCTTGCCTTCTCACAGCGTTTGGACTGTACCATGATTTACTGTATAAGGTGACCCCCTGTAGCATGGTACGGTCCGTCTGACCGAGAGGCAACATGGCTAGGCTAACGTCTTTCGTGGCTGTGCGGAGGGTGCTAATAAAACGGCTTTTTCCCCCCGAATGTTGCCCACTGTTGTTAGCCAAATTGTATTTTAGGCATTATACTGCTATCGAATTGCGTTTCTGGTAACTTAGACCATGATTTGGGTGTGTTGACGTTTTTATCATGTGTTGACGCATGTTGACGTTAATCAGTACGACCGATGATAACTGGTGGGAGGGACTGCCCCGGCTGATGCACGTTCAAAAATCATCCCAAAACTTCTCAAAATATCCCTACTTGTAGG